AGATAATGAAACATCTGCAAGAAAACAACCCGGGCCTCATGTCAACCATGAGTTACAAATATTCTCCTTTTTGGAGAGGGGGAAGAAGGTGGCACTAGACCAGTGTTTCTCAACCTTGACAATTTTAAGGCATGTGGACTTCAACTCCCAGAATTCCACAGCCAGCATTGCTGGCTGTGGAATTCTGGGAGTTGAAGTCAACATGCCTTAAAATTGTCAAGGTTGAGAAACACTGTGACTAGACGCACTAAATCAAGCAGGTAAATCAGCGTAACGATCATCTTCACAGCAGACAATGATTAGATGAATTTGGGGTTAGTTGGGATTAAAAATGGTTTGGACTCGCTTCTAGCAGAGGGGGGTGGGTGGGTCAGAGGGTCTGGAAGGCAGAAATTGCTGATGGACGTTCTGTTTTCGTGTCCCCACTGACAGGGCCGGCTGCCTGTGAAATGGATGGCTCCCGAAGCCTTGTTTGACCGTGTCTACACTCATCAGAGTGATGTGTAAGCATTGCCCACCGTTTCAAAACAAAACGTCCACTCAGGGAAAGAGGGGTGAGGGCATGCAGAGAAGAAGACATCCCGAGCTCCACGAATAAGTGGGCCTGCTCCATCCGTTGGCCTCGGTGGAGGCTTCCAGAAAGATCAGTGAGACGAGCTGCATCTATTTAACTCAGCGGTTCTCAACCTATGGGTCGCGACCCCATTTGGGGTCGATCGACCATTTCACAGGGGTCGCCAAGCAAGGCTGTCCGCCATTTTTTTTGTCCACCATTTTTTTCCCCTTTTCTGGCGGGTGCCTTACCTCCCTTGGGCTGGGCCAGCTGGTGGTCGGCCTGCTCCGTCTATGCCGCTTGCCAGCTACGCCTCGGCCGGCGCAGGGGGCAGAACCACGCATGCGCGGCGCTCCCGGGCAGGGAAAGTCCTCGACTTACGACCGGTCGGGTAGTCCTCGACTTACGACCGGTTTAGTCCTCGACTTACGACCGGTTTAGTCCTCGACTTACGACCGGTTGGGGTCACGGCATTAAAAAGGTTGAGAACCACTGGTTTAACTGCTTATCTAATTCGGGCTTCTGTTCAGCTGCGTCTAACAGATTGGCCAGTATTTGTTTTTTTAAAAAAATACAATTCGGGAAAATTCAGTCATCAGGCGATGGGTGACCTGTTGCTTTGCATGTCTTTCGCAGGGGGAAAATACAGCTTCATTTTTTTCCTTTTTTTTTTTCCCTCAAAATTTCACCGGCTCTTTCAACGTTGGTCTTTTCAGATGGTCGTTTGGGGTGCTGCTATGGGAGATCTTCACTCTGGGAGGGTCCCCCTACCCAGGAATCCCCGTTGAGGAGCTTTTCAAACTCTTGAAGGAAGGCCATCGTATGGACAAGCCAGCAAACTGTACCCCAGATTTGTAAGTTTTCTACCTGAGAAATTCATACTTTGGGGAAGGAGGGCTTTCCATCTGTCTGGGTGGATTCTTGTTAATTCAGTTGCTTCACATCCATATTTTCTGTTCATAACTTCCTTCCTTCCTTCCTTCCTTCCTTCCTTCCTTCCTTCCTTCCTTCCTTCCTTCCTTCCTTCCTTCCTTCCTTCCAACTGCCCATTAAAACTGCCAAAGATTTTCGGTCAAGTTTCTAGGCAGCTTGTAGACCAGGGGTAGTCAACCTTGGCTCTTTTATGACTCGTGGACTTCAACTCCCAGAATTCCTGAGCCAGCAGAGCTGGCTCAGGAATTCTGGGAGTTGAAGTCCACGAGTCGTAAAAGAGCCAAGGTTGACTACCCCTGCTGTAGACCCATCCGATATTCTGTGGAGAAACGTGGCAGCATCTTCACCAGTCCTTAAGTTGGCTTTCCTCAGGGGTTAAAGACCACGCTTCGGGACAGCCATAGCCATAACTTTCTTCCGTGGGACATCAATAATTACACAGCTGGAGGTATTTATGGAAGATCCTCTTGATCAGCTCCAAGCTCACACTGTTGCCTAGGGTGCAGTCATAAAAGACCTTGGGGCCAATCCCTCCTTCTCAGCCCAGTGGCAGTGTGGAATAATGGGTGAATGGTGGGCTAAGATTCACATTCACCCAGAAGTGAAACATACTCCCTCCCTCTCTCCCTCCCTCTCGCCCTCTCTCCTTCCTCTCCTCTCCTCCCCTCTCCTCTCCCCCTCTCTCCTTCCTTCTCCCCTCCCTCCCTCTCCCCCTTTCCCTCCCTCTCTCCCTCTCTCCTTCCCTTCCCCATTCCTTCCCTCTCCCCCTCTCCCTCTCTCTTCTCTCTCTCCTTTCCTCTCCCCTCGCCCCCTCTCTCCTTCCCTCT